TTTTTTTTTTTTGTGAAACAATAAATCTATTCACCTTGCTCGAACATTTATTAAAATATGTACTTAAACAGGCATAATTTGAGCTTAATATGGATCGCATGCATTAACAAACCAACCTAAAACCTGTATATTCCAAAATCTTAGCATTCCTAAATTTGTTTTCGTTTTGTGTTTTTCTCGCAATTTCGCTTTGAGCGAATAACATGTACCTACGCAGTGCAATGTCTCAGCTGGATGCCATTCGATATGTAAATACATACATACATATAAGTATGTCATAGGGTGAGGTATTACATACCCACGCACACATTCTTAATAAAAAAATGGTTTTAAAAAATTGATTCTCGCACTTTGATAAATTATGTCAGCACGAGCCTCGTTTACGACAAAATGCAAAAATTAATTTTGATTAATTAATCTTCTATTGTGAAAACGTCAATTGAAGATGTAATTGTGCTACTCTGCTGAAATGGCATCTATTCAGTTTAAATAATAAGCATTGATGTGAAATATTTTTTATCCGTGGTGAGATATTTTTTATGTTTATATAATTAATGTTAAGCCTTGCTACCGGAAAACAATTAAAAATAATTCTACATACTCGTATGCACTTATGTACATACATATGTACATACGTATTTTTATTAATTTGATCTCGCTCGGTACAGTTTAAGGAGATAATTAATTTAAATCTGCTTACATTTGTTAGCCGTAACGGTTTGATTGACTTAAGGAAATTTTAAACGAATACTCATTTAATAATTCTTAAAATGAATTTAATTAAAGCGTTATTAACACTTAATCCAGTTGCGCCAAAGGTTCAATTAGATGATTTACGGAAAATGAAAAGTGCATTAAACGCTTGGTCTTGGGGAGCACGGCGTTTGATAAGCAACGATTAGCCTGAAACTTCCGGTAGTGCAAGTAAGGGAATACAAATTAGATATAAGTGGTTATCACGCGCAAAAAATTTAGAAAATTTAAAATGTGCAACACAATGATTATCAGATATAATTAAATATGTAATTTCGTGAGTGGATAGTTGGAAAAATATATACATAATTATTTAGTAAACACATGTCCTTATTCATAAAAAGTAAAGTAGATTTAAGAAAAACGGGTAAACAACACACATATATAAAATTTATAAAACACTTATTTCAAACAGGAAAATACCCGGCGTGCTTCACTGCATCTCAAAAGTTTTTTTGTGCTTTTTGATACCCGTATAGTAATATTTAATTTATTTTGTCAATTTTATTAAATACAATTTTTTTAACTGGTGGAAAACCCCACCACAATAATTTTGGCAGTAAACTTTCCTAAAAATACAATTTTCAAACATGAGGCTACCTTGACAAAAATATTTTCGTCTGCAAGCCGAACTTCTTTCTTTTGACAGCCATATTGCAATATTTGCTTTATCTTATCAATCTTCTTAAACTGCAATTTTCAAACAGGTGGCAACTCTCTAATTTTGTTTCTTTCTATATTTTAAGCTAGAACTCTGGCAATGCAATGATACAAACCAGGGACCGAACATAACTGTTATTGATGACAACTGTCATGGAAAAATTCACTATGAAGGAAATGTTCTACAACCAAGTGATACATACCGATCGCTTTCCTTTTTCACTCAAATTTAAAAAGACATTTTTATTTCCAATTTTTATGCAAAATTGAAAAAATAGCAATTATTTTTGATTATGATTATGATTTAGACAACAGTTATTGAAGAGTTTTATGTCATCAATAAAAATCAATCAAAGACTTTTATTTTAACAAGTCATCAGTATAAATAAGTCACCGACTTTAATTTTTTAAATCATTCGTATAAAAGTCATTAAAACTTATCGACTTATACAAATGACTTTTTTAAGTATTTTTTTTTTTTTTTAATAAAGGCCAATGACTGATTTTTATTTTTGACTTTTATAAATAAAAGCCTTCGATAGCTGTTATCTAAAACATATAATTTGAAAATCAAACATAACTGTTATTTGCAGATTATTTAGATAAAAATCAAAAATAATTTTTATTTTATAATTAAATTCAGAAATAAGGGTTATTTAAGGAGTAATTAAATAAAAGTAAAAAAAAATAATTCTTAAAGAGCGATTTTTTTAATAAAAGTTGTAACCGTTATGGTCGCTGATAAAAACTGCATTCAATTTAATGCATTAGTTTCCGAGTGATGCGCGTACACACATAGATACAGACAGACGGATAGGCAGACAGACAAAAATTCTAAAAATTGCTGATTTGGCTTCTATTGCTCTAATAAAAAGTCTCCATACTAATGTTTTTTTAATATCTATAATGTACAGACATGATCCTGCTACCATTTTATTATATGTATAGTTATGTATCTAAACTAATTAATAAAGAATAGTTTTCGGAAAAAATTAAAAAGTTTACAAAGTGGCGAAAATTTTTTAAGATAATGTACAAGATTTCTAAGTGGGCACGTTCGGAAAATTACAGAGAAATGTTCTTATTTGAGTTTAGACCAACGTAGGGAACAAATTTAAATTTTCTTCTTCTAATCTTTTTTAATTTCCTACTTCTTCTGATGTAAATTCTGAAATACTTTGTGAATTTCGGAATGGGGAAGACCTCAAAATATTTAGAATGCTTAAGCGAACGAAATTTTACCTTGTTTTAATTTTTGTTCAGGGCGGTGTAACCCTTTGAAAAACGTAAAAAATGACATTTTCATAAAAATTTTCGATTGGCTACCTTCTTCAAAAATATTTTTGAAATAATTCTTTCTGGCAACTCTGTCGTTTGACAACCATTTTAAGACAAATATATGTACATATATGTATGTCGCTTATCTTGTTTATTAAACTGAGTTTATATTTCTAAAAAGGTGGCAATCTGCATACAAATTTTTGAAGAAATACAGCTTTCTGAAACCTTTCTCGTTTTATACCCATATTGAGATATTTCATTTAACTTGTGGACTACATTGATTTTCCTCCATAGATGTCTACAGCATGTCGATAACTGAATGGAAGATCGACCTAGTTCGGCAGCCAGTTCGAAAACCCCCTATCTCAGAAAACTTTTCAAAAACGCCCTACTTCTGAATTTGGTTGAAGAACGCCCTATATAATAAATGAGCCAATAATTTGCAAATCTATTTTTTTAGCTCTTACATCTCTTATACAAATAAGCATTAAATATATTACATTTTAATGAATTCATTTAATTGGCCAAAAAAACGCGGCTAGTTAGAAACGGTTTCGAAGCATATACATATGTATAGCATAATATGTATTTCCAAGCTAAGCATTGCAATCTCAGAACTGTGTAAATTTTTTACAAAATAAATATTGATTTAATTAAAGCTAATAATCAACCGCAGGATCGTTTTCCTTTAGTCCTAGTTGACTTAGTTCGGTGAAGAGAGCTCGTCCTTGCAGTCTTTCGAATATTCTGAAGTTTTTGAGGTTTCGTCAATGTCCTTGCGTAAAACTCGTCGGCAAAACTTTTGCAAAGGCGTAGGTAAATTGCATGTGCAAGTGTGCAGATTTTCGCCTAATTCCGTTGATGCT